TTGTTTGAAACAGGTAACTGCAGCAACCTTCTGAGGGTCTGGGCGCACACCATGTTTGTCTACTAGATGACCAAGTACAAGTGCTTCTCGACGACCAAAGTGACATTTCTTGGAGTTCAGGGTAGGGGCAGCTTGTTCAAGGCATGTTAAAACAACGCCAAGTCGATGGTTGAGTTTAGAAAAAGTTTGTCCAAAAATGACGATGTTGTCGAGGTAACAAACAAATCTCCCATTTGAGACACGCAGTACCATGTCCATAAATGTCGCAGGGGCGTTGCGCAAACCAAACGGCATGACATTGAATTCAAACAAGCCATATGGCATGACAAAAGCGGTTTTCTCCTTGTCAGCGGAATGCATAAGTACCTGCCAATAGCATGATCGGAGGTCCACATATGAAAAGTAAGATGCCGAATGAAGACAGTCGATAACGTCGTCTATGTGGGGAAGCGGATACACATCCTTTTTCGTCACAGAATTCAGACGTTGGTAGTCAAAGCAAAACCTTCACGACCCGTTTTTTTTTTTTTTTTCTTCATGAGGATGACTGATGCAGCCCAGGGGCTAGAAGGGTCTTGGATGACAACCTTAGCCAATATGTCTTCCAGCTGTTTGGCGATCACCTTGCACTCCAATGCAGACACACGGTATGGTTTCTGTCTTATGGAATGTGCAGACCCCATGTCAATCCTGTGGCGAGCCCGTGTATTGGGAACACGAACTTTGGCAGCATCCTGGGTGAAATCAAACAATGAAACATGCCTGCTAAGGACGCTGACCACGGCTTGACGCTTCTCAGATGGTAGTACCTTGCTAATCATGTGCAAACACGGCGAAGAGTCTTTGGGACACCAGGGCTAGTCTCATGCGCCCGGGATTCATACGAGACGTGATAGCTTAAGGCGTTGATATTAAGGCTCGTATCCGCTTCAAACGATGCAAGTCACATACCGCTTGCAAGCACAATAGACTGGTTAGACAAATTTGACACCCACAATGCACTTGTGCCACAGGCCACAGAGACAATACAGCGAGGCACGAGCACACCCTTCTTTGCGATGATTGATGGCATTGGCTTAACAACAGCGTCGAATACACTGTTGTCGGCACTAGCAACAGTAACCTGAACGCTGGTTAACGAACGGGGCGGTACGACGGAATCTTCACAGACGGTGAGGGTATGCGAACAAGTAGCAAGTTGGTCGGCAACAAAAAGAGAGACAAAAAGCTCGCCGGTACTACAATCAAGATTGACACAGCACTGTTGAAATCTAGACCCAGAATTAGATTAAGCTTTGATTTAGCGAGCATTGCGAATTCGGTTTGATAGATGTTATTTGAGAAATAGACGTTCGCGGTACACACACCAAGAGGTCCCAACAATTCTCCACTCACAGCACGAAATGTGCTCGCATTATCCCACTTGAACATCACCTTATGGCCTAATTGGGTTTTGACATCCATGTTCATAACGGAGACACTTGCTCCTGTGTCCATTAAAGCTGTCATAACATTGTCCACAGAAACACAAATCTTGTTATGACGCATAGTCACTGGTGAAGGCGTAGTGGCCTGTAGCTGAAGACGACTGGCGACCTTACCTCCATCGGTCGCGCCGCCTAGTTTCCCGGCGACGGTGAAGTGGGACGTCGTCGAGGAGATGGGGATCTTCAGTAGCGTGAAGGTCGTGGCGTCAAGCTCCGCACAGACGCCGGTGAGTCACTGTGGTGATTCGCCCGGTGGGATGGCCTTCTGTCAGAGTCTGAGGACCAGGGTGTCTCGTCAACGTGCTGATTGCTGTGCCCGTAGAAAGTGCGTGGTCGGCCCATAGGACGGTGCTGCCGTGCGACGGCGATCGGGCAATATGACTGCGGATGCCACAATGAAAGCATATGGGACGTTCGCGAGGTGCGCTGATGTCAGCAGAAGGATGAATGGCCCAGCCGTTCCATGCCTGATAACCGGTATGTGGTCTGCATGCTTATTTGTCATCTAATGGGTAGTACGGACGCATAGTTTGGCTTGGCCCTCGAGGATGAGGCGTATAGTTGTAGGCATCAAGGGAGGCGGCGTTGATAGTCTTAGCGCTCAAGTCGCAGGGAGGAAAGGGTTCTCGGACAGCAGGTCCCGGCCGAGAAGCCGCCTCGTGTAGGTCGAGCTCTTCGCGCAATACTTGGCGAATTATGGATACGAGACCCAATGGGGTTGGATGCACGTCGACACTGGCGACATTAGTGACGTTGAGCAGGCGGCCGAACTTTGGTGTAATTCACCGTGCTTTCAGCGCTTCAAACATACGGCAGTGCTTGATAACGTCACTTACACCCTCCAAGCTTTCTTTTGCGATGAGGAACTGGTAAACGTCCTCCGCGATCCCTTTTAGAAGATGACCAACTTTGTCCTCTTCTGTCATCCAGGGGTCCAGTGCCCTACACAACTTGAGCACCTCGTCGATATACATCGTGCAGGTTTCCTTGGGGACTTGCGCTCGTTGGCTTTCTTCATGGCTTTCAAACCACACAGATGCGGTTCCTTTGAGAAAGAGATCTACATCATTGAGCTGGCTGGTGACATCACAGCCATTAAACAGACTCGCCCGTTGGTAGGAGCTGAGACACGAGTCGACATCTTCTGCAGCTTGTCCAGCGAAGGATGGAGGCTGGATGTAGGGCTGCCACGGAATGCGGGAAGCAGGTGGCTCGTTGTCATTGTTGTCGTGAGACGCCATCGCAGGTGGCAGACCAGCAAGTTGTCGGCTTCGGCGAAGCTCCGCACATTGCACCTCCGCGGTCGATAAATCGCTGTTCGTCGGGGGCGCCGTTATCGTACCCAGCACCTCTCCCCAAAACTGTTACGATGGGGCGTATTTATTGAAGAGCGAATGGCGAAGGGTAGCCGCACCGACACCGAGCTTCTTCCAAACAGACCTCTTCGTTCTCCTCTTCTTACATTGCGCTTCAGCATAACAATATAGATGCGTATACATAAATGGTGAAAGACGGCGGTGACGGCAGAAAACCAGCTGAGACTGTCCATGTAATTGCCATTACAATAAAATAGCCGACCTAGGGCAGATGCATCACCCCATGTGCCAGGCCTGCCATCGATTATTACTAAAGCAGAGAGAAACACGCCACCCATCTTCAAAAAGCAGGAAGGAACTGGGAACGCAAGCTGGGGGGAGGGGGAAGGGGTGTTATGAACTTTGGGTGTGATCACTGGCACTCGCACTAATTCGGCAGGCACCACCCCCTCCTACTAAAGAAACAAATACAAAGAAATGATTACGATGACGTAATGTTTAATTTTTTTAACCGTCAGCTATCGACCTTGGAAAGCGAGAGGCGGACGTGTAACAAGGCGTAGCCGCTTCACCATGGCCCTTCCAACCCCAGAGCCGCCAGGGATATCAAAGCTGAATTCCGGCAGCTCCAACCAGGAAGCAAGCTTTTATTAATGAGATGACATTAAAAAAAAAGCATGCGAAAATTTTGCATACGGATCCTAGCAATCTCGAGTTCATAATAGCAGGGTGTTTTAGGATCAAGACAAACGCGGATGTGCTGGTGGAAGGTATTACAAAAATGAACTACTGAATGAATAAAGTATATTAAAGAAAAAGCGTCAACGCGTTTCCACAAGGCACATGTTCTTCTGTGTACTCCAAGCGCTGGAAATTAGGCCGCGCGCAATGTCCAGAAGTTGATGTGACACACATTCTGGCGGCGCGTAAGTGTGTAGTTGTTAGTGAAAATTGCTTTAATTACATGAAGCGCAACCCTTCAGACGAGCTATCAGCAGCGTTTCTAAAACGGACAACACCTACCGATGAATCGCCGCCACAGTTTCACGATACAGATTGAAATAGACGTCACAAGCCCCTGCGAAAAGCGCGTTTCACCATTAAGCGGACTTGCACAACAGAAGTTGCGTCAGCACCTAACATTGTGAATTACTTAGAACACACGCCCGACCACTGTTAATATAGCGGAATTATTTTAAGCACGCGATTGTGACTTTGGTGGCCCCGAGAACAAGATGCACATGTTTTGATGCACTGGCGTGTCTATTGTTGGTGAGAGACGCTCCCAAATTCGACTTTGGCGCAATTTTCGTTGATATTATCAGGATGGCGAAGTAAATCTGACTTGGCGCACTTTGGCGCAGTTGTCGCCGGAGTGGAATCACTGCCTTCGCAAGCAAAAATAGCAGAGCATCTATATTGAAAGATATGCAAAACATTGAAACAGCTGTATTTTAGGGGAGATGCAATTCGAAAAAGAAGTTTCGTGAAACTGTAGGCTCGAACAGTTAGATTTTTTTGCTGCATAATGGGCTTTTATGCTTATTTCAAATATGTAAAAAGTTTTGTAGTAAGTTTCACAGTTTTTATTTCGTGCCATGACAATGAGTAAAATATAGTTCATTTTGGACAAACTTTTGTGCCACAAAACCTTTATGGTTCCAAGCCATCAATAGGTCATACTGCTACTCATTAACTGTAGAATGCAAATAAGTATCAAAAAGTGCATATAAGCCATTTTAATAAACAAGAAAATTTGTAATGTGAGCATTCTTAGAATCCTCAGCCTTTAATAACTGATTGCTTTAGCTTCATATTAATTATACAAGTGATATCAAGTTTTGAAGGAGATACTTACACCTTACATTGTTAAGGAATATTTGGTCAAAATATCATCCTGATCTGGCTATCAGAATTACGAAAAACATTATGTCTAATCTCAAGAAGTTGTCCTGAAGTGAATCTAGCATCTCCCCTTAACACCTCAAGCTGAAGTAGTACAAAGTGAAATTGCTTTCGGTTCATTTACAACAGCTATAGTAAATTTACGAGCCTGAACCTAAAAAGAGTTCATCATAATGCCACTGCCTAAATATAAAAAATCCTCTGAAATCCTATTAGCTGTTATATGGACATGGCTAGAAGTACAGATCAAAAGTAATAGAATCAGGCAACAAATGTATTATAAGAAACTCACTGTAGCATGTCTCCAGTGATGAATTATATCATGAATTTCTGAGCTAGGGTGAAAAAGCAGGTAGTCACGCCATTCTTCAAAGCTAATGGTCAGAGAGCCGTCCTTGTCCATTCTGAGGAAGGAAAAAGATTCATATTTATTGTTTCAACAACTGTTGAGTCGTAATTTTACAGGCAGAACTGAAGTTATCACCCGATAGGAACACATAGATGCCAGATATTCTGCTTTTCTCAGTTTTTGTATCTTTTCCTTAGTCTGCCGACCCAAAAACTAATAAGAGTATGATGTATTGATATATTTTAAAACACCACTATATCGAGTAATCACAGCCTCAGAAACACATCATTAAAGGAGCACTGACATCAAATTTACTCATGTGAAGGCTTTTGTGTCAACGAATAGCTATCGACCCCTTATTAGCGATTTGCGAACTATAACGCAACTGAGGGATGAATAACTATCACTTTTTATTGATTTATATCACTGATATCTAGCATGATTCAAAACGGCTGGCAATCCCGCCATTTTTAGCGCTGGGAGCACTACCTCGCGGTGACCTGCAGACCACGCCACAGCTGACCACTTCTGCACAGAAAAGAGTGACGTCAAGCGATGCTGCTCCGCGAACAGTTCGTCTGCTAGGCGCACACATTCAGTCATGCCTTGTCATCTGCATTGCTGTCGCCGTGCCGTACAAAATGTCGACTAGGGTCGAATACAACAGTCTGAAGCTTGGTATCGCCGCGATTTACGATGTTGGGAATCATTTTTGTTTCAATCGGCCCTTTGCAAAACAGCGATCCCAAAATGGATGCTGTTCCAAGCAGCAATAAACAGATGCCTAAGAATGCATGCTTCGGCCACGCTCGCTCCTGCATGTAAATTCGCTATATTGGTGTGTGTAGCGCAACAGCCGAGATATAGAATAAATTTCCTGCTTGCCAGGTTCCTCTTTGCGCCTCCAGATGGCCCCACTTATCCTGTGGCGGCGGCAGTAACCCGGTATTAGCGGACGCAAAGAAGTCTACAGATGAACGAAAACTATAAACGGTACCTGCATGTTACTGCACGATATCCGACGCCCTGACTGACGAACGCACGTTGAATCGTGCTTTTCGCCAATATTTTATAGGCGGCTTGCATCCTGGTAATTTAACGAAGTCATTAAAAGCGGTACAACGAAGATCGGACATGACGAGTGAGTGCGTTTCCGGGGCTTGGCACCAGAATAAGAACTCTGATTGTAGACGTCACCACTACTAGCGCGTCGCCACTCAGATGGTATGTGTAAAATGCATCACACCGAACACGTAGCACTAGTGTCGATGTCGCAGGGGCACTCCATTTTCCATTAAGCTCTCTTACACTGTTTGCCATCAAAATAGAATAACTTCCACGCAATGGACGCAATTCAAATTGGGTCAAGGGGACCTACGCACATCGCACAATTGAATGAAGGGCACATCTCGATTTTGAAATTTGATGTCAGTGCTTCTTTAAAGGCAACCTATAAACCACTTTTTTTTAAAGGTGAGCAGGAAGCAGGAATGAGTGCAATGCCTCTTAAGGAATATAATTCAAAAAAAATTTTGATGAGCACCTAATAAGGGCACATATATAAATGAGTGCAATGTTTACATTCCCTATTACAGTATGATAAATCTGCTTCACCAAGTTGGAGAATGTACAGCTTATTGCATCTGTCTCCCTAAATAGTGCTTATTTATGAGCATACAGTTCACATTTGACAAATATGCTCAAGAGAAATATATAGACAGTATTCAGTTGGGTGCAGCATTTTACTGAATAAAGATCAGTAGTTTTCTAAAAATATATGGAAGGGTCTGGATGGCTGCTCAAAAGTTTAGCATGCGAGTAATTCACCTTGAAAATATATGCATCTCTGCGCCGCATCCACCTATGATAGCTGTTAAATTATCTGCGACAACATTGATACCCCAAAAAAAGACAAAAATGTAGTGGCCCTTAAAATCCATACAAGAGAGAAAGATATTTGACAAGCAACACTGCAGGTTTCCTTTGGCACACAGCCTAATAACATTTGGCTAACATGTCATTTACGGTTTCCATTTTAGTGCTCCATCAAAATAAAGCAGCAAATGACCAGCTATTTTTGTTACTTTCTAGACACACATGAAAATTCAGATGGACATAAAAGCACCATAATGAGTCTTTAGGTGTATATAAGCCTTTATAAACTATACTTATTTTTACACCTAGGAAGCAATCACAGGGCTTTATATGCTCTTTTTAAACCTCTTTGTCATTCCCTGTGGCTTAGCTTACGACATCTTGTTTGAAAGGAATGACAATGAAAAAAAAAAGGTCATGCTTTCTCCTATGCACAGTGCATAACAATGTTTACAAAAGGATTTTAACAAAATGCTTGATATTTCCTTAGCTACATCAATGTGCAATATGTTATTAAAACTTTCATTAAGGCTGTAGTTATTTAAGTATATGAATATTCAGACCAGGTGTTCATTTTTTTTTTAGTACTAATAAGATGTACTGTTAAAAAGGAGATCATTTCACTGTACATGCGTAGAAGTGCATGCATGCAAATTCTTACTAGATTACTAGAAATTTGGACGATTAAAAGAAGAGAGTGCAATTTGAAAAAAAAAGGGGGGTGGTGAGTGTGTTACACATCAAAACCATGTACTGGTGGAATGTCAGACAAAGGCTTTGAGTCAATACAAAAGTAAAACCATGAAAAAATGAAAAGCTGCTCTTTTAGTGGTGTTTGGTGCAATAAAAATTAATAAAGGCATGTATAATGAGAAGATAGTTTCCAATGACAGAATTGAGTGATTAAATAGTGGGCACTTGAATATCACAAAAAAATGTTACTGCTCATGCCACACAATGGATGTAATAACTCATTTCACAACACCAGTTTGGGCTCTTACCTTAATGATCCTGCAAAAGAAGCATCTTGATGCAAGTACAGATCTGTGAGGGCTAGCTTACAAACAGTTCCTGACTGTCACATGTGTCTTAGCACTCTACTGGTACCTAAACATAATTATAATGATGATATATGGGGTTTAATGTCCCAAAATTACCCTATGATTATGAGAGACACCGTAGTGGAGGGCTGCGGAAATTTCGACCACCTGGGTTTCTTTAACGTGCACCCAAATCTGAGTTCACGAGCTTACGGCATTTTTGCCTCCATCAAAAATGCAGCCGCCGCAACCGGAAATCGATCCCATGCAGGTCAGCAGCCAAGTACCTTAATATAGTCGGCCACCACCCAAAAATTTTTTTTAACCGGAGGAGCCAGGATTAAAATAACTGCTTTTTCGGAAAAAGTGTGTTTCATTAACCTTGTCTAGTCATTTAGAGTGCAAATTATTATTTTTTGGGAGGCCATCTTTGTCAAAAATTTAATGAAAAGTGGTAGTTACGCCAGTTGTGATAAGTGAATAATGGGTGCCTGAATTCAGTAAAGCTTTGGCATTTCTGTAACCAAAGGTTGGAGCTATGCAGAGAACTAGGATAAATATTATACAGTAAATATCAAGGAAGTTAAGGTAAAAAGTTCCCAAAGACAGAGAGAAAGTGCCAATTTAGACTGGTTTGATTGATTTGTGGGGTCTAACGTCCCAAAACCATCATATAATTATGAGAGACGTCGTAGTAGAGGGCTCCGGAAATTTCGACCACCTGGTGTTCTTTAACGTGCACTCAAATCTGAGTACACGGGCCTACATTTCTCCATCGGAAATGCCGCCGCCACAGCCCCAATTTAGACTGAACTTGTTTGCGAAATCAGCTGTAAATTTAAAACTAATCGATCAATTTCTTTTATCCTGGTTCACTGCACAGATATATAAGTGGTGAAACATTGTACAAAATTTCAGCTCAAATCATGCACCAAGAAAAAAGTTATGAAAGTTGACATCACATAATTTGGCTCAAATTAGTTTTCCGAGAAAAACAAACAAAAATTTCACAGCGGGCACAAGGTGTTATAAACTTTGCACAGAGTCCTAAAATGCACCAGACTCATAGGTGGGTCCTTCTTGAATAGCATTATGGTCTCCTTTTCATCATGCGGCTGCTCTTCTTTTCGGCCTGTTCCGTCCAATCCGTCGACTTGTGCTTGGCATTCTGCATGTGCTTGTGATCTGTGGCAATGCAAGCTTTTGTCGTGTAGTACAGGTTCTACGCCAGCTTGCTTCAAGATGTCTAGTGTGCTTACATCGCCATTATTGAAGTGTGCCACAGCAGCATGCTAGCAAACATTAGTGTAGGCAAGCTTATGTAGACCTCTTTGGGAGCACGCTGCCATATCAGACCATTAAAGCACTCATTTGCCTTTTGTGTCTTTCCATGCAAACATTTGATCAGAAGATCATCCGAGCAGAAAATGCTGTACACAGTTTTAACTCTGTTGAGCACATTAGTTGAAAGTCCTCCTTTGTGCACATACTTTCCTTGGACGAGTGCTTCAACACTTCTGTACCCACACCAGCTGTTCGGTCCAAGTGTACACAGACCATGTCCTGGATGCTCATCAGTAGAGCTGCAATAAAAAAGACTGGCAAGAGTAGCCTGCTTCATTTCAGAAAGGTTGTCCACATTAGACCTTATGGCAATGCCATAGCAGTTTTGCAGGCGGTCAATGAGGGCATCAGTGAGCTTTCCATTACCACCGAGACTATGCACTGCCTTCAGTTTTCTGAGGCGGTAGCCAACGCGCTTCTGGACATGCCCAATGCATTCCAGTTTCTCGACACTGCCCTTTCATACATGTCTTTCACAGCAGTACTGCTCTTGTAATCACCATCCCCGTAGAATTTCAGGTACTCTAAGAGTCTTTTTGGCTGCAACCTCTCAAATATACGGTACAGACCAACCATCTCCTTACTGCCAGCATTTCCTTCATGGTTTGCTTGACAGGAAGTGTGGTTTGCCTTCTATTCCTGATAAAAAGCACTTGTGGGCCTCAACTTTATTTTAGTTTCATGAGACTAACAGAGCTAGAAAGGGCCTCAACATTATTGACATTTCCCGTGTCAACATAAATCGCAGATACACATCCGTTCAAAGATGAATGGCCACACTTCTGCCATGTGCCATCACCTGAAACACCACTCTCGGCACTGCCCACAACACAACGAAGTTCCACAGCAGCATCGGCCATAGCATTCGATGCCACTTCTCCTGCCGCTGCCGAAAACCCCTGCGATAATCTGTCATAGGCAGAGTGACGTGAAGGAGCGGGCATGTTCATGACTTTAGCAAACGTTTCCGCACCTGCGTGCCCTTTTCTTAACTGGCGCATAGCGTAAACGAGAAGAACATTATTTTCGCTAACCCGTCCCACCTTTCTAGACGTATTAAATGGACGCTCGAACCCACAGTCAGTACACATGATCGCACAAGTTGAGCATATCCCTTGGTGAGAGCCCGCCTTGAGCTTCAGCATTGGGTTTATGCATTCAGGGCATGTCAGTGATGAAAACACTGAAGAAAGAATGTCGATGTCTATAAGCCTGTTCCCTTGGAGCGAAAAATTCTCCTGCAGAGCCTCATACGCTTTCGTAATGTCTACAAGCTTCCTCGCGGTCGCCAAAACACCCGCGCCAGTGTCAGCTTCGTCGTCGTATAGGGATTTCCACCAAACTTGCGCTTCCTTGTCTTCCGAGTTCTCCACTTAGCCATGCTGTTCTGAATATGGCACAGGTGGCTAAAGAACACATATGCTGCAGGGGTGACACGTGGAAGAAGTGCAGAACGATGCTCGACCAAGGTAAACAACAAACATTCCACAAGCATCTTGCATCCCCCTTGTGGCCGTTTTTAGAGATTTAAAAACAATTAGAAGCACAAACTTATATATAATGATATCCTCTTATGTAACAGTCAACATAAAATTCATGAAGTATATTGAATATTATTAATATAGACGAAAAACACTTACTTTCGTAACCAGCACATCGTGGTTTAGTTATACAAGCATGGGGTATATAAGTCTAGCTGTAACTCGTGAACTAATGATGATAGGAGGATAAATATCGTTGCTACATATTTTTGAATGTTTGGGCATGCAGAAAAAAAAACATAAAAAATCGATCTCACAAAAGAAATTTGACTTTTGAAGGTGGCCTACCGCCTTAACATAATTATTATGATGGATGACTTCTGGAAATGAAGTGCCTGACCAGTTTTGAATAAGAGTATTTACAAGAAAGAAAATTTTGCGAGATACCACAGCACCATTTGAAAGCTTCCTCCCGGACACTAGGTGGAGCAGTGCACGTGTCAAGGCTACGCTGGATGATTACCAAGTGCATGCACGTCCAGTACTCAGTAAACTAGCAAACAAGTGAACATAGGTTGTGCATGTGCCTAGTAATAGTCTGGCATAGCCTTGAAATTCCCACTGCACTTTAATATCCACATTTCCTGGCTCGAACGTCCCCCTAACTGGCTACATATTAGAACATTAGCTACTTGACTAGTAAGAAAGCAGTAATCCCAGCAAGTAGAAATGAATAAACCTATTTGCTAACTTCACTTCAAATTCACAGAAATAAGAGTCATAAGATGCTCTTTTATTATCTCAATATCACATTTCATTTGTTTTTGCAGTGATGACTGCTGTGCTGTAAGTTATATTGTATACGTACAACTGCTCAAAAAGCGAAGAAAACATACCCATTTCTGCTTAAAAAGCAAAAATACATATCCTGGTCCTGAGAATCAAACACAATCGCAGTCATTTAAAAATCTATTAAAGGCTCTAGACAGTGCTATAATGGCTTCACATAGTCCCTTTGGATCACTGACTGATTGATTTGTGGGGTTTAACATCCCAAAACCACCATCTGATTATGAGAGATGCCGTAGTGGAGGGCTCCAGAAATTTTGACCACCTGGGGTTCTTTAATGTGCACCCAAATCTGAGCACACGGGCCTACAACATTTCCGCCTCCGTCGGAAATGCAGCCGCCACAGCTGGGATTCAATCCCGTGACCTGCGGGTCAGTAGCAGAGTACCTTAGCCACTAGACAAACGTGGCGGGGCGCCCTTTGGATCGCAATCGGGCGTGATTCGAAATGAATTTTTTAAATTTTGATTGGCTTCCTCATGCAAGCTTTACAAGAAAGCTGATCACTGTTGAAAGAGTTGATCCTATCAGGCTTGATCCTAATCAGCAGTGGACCATGTGACACCGGTATTAGCCTTGTGCAGACTGTCAACTTACCGCTTGAGGAGTCGCATGGCTTCATCAGTTTCAATTTGAATTCCAAGTTTCTGGAACGATGTCCTGATCTCATTTGCATCCAGTGAGCCTTACCAGCAAAGAGAAATATGACAGTAACAACCACTTACATGCAGGTGCAAAATACTCATTGAATTCGGTGACTTACCATCACTATTTGCATCAAGGCTTTTAAAAACCACCATCAAATTCTTTTCGTGTTCAATTATGTAGTGTACGAACTCTGCAAAATCCACAGTGCCATCCTTCCCAGTGTCTGACACCGTTATGAACCTCTGTACCAAAAATGAAAAAGAAACAGAGAAACATATAGGGAAGACAATAAAAATGACGTTAACAAAACATCACACGCAGAATAGAAGCGTAACCTAGCACGACAGACCTAAAACTAATAAACATTGGTGATATGGCACTCACTCAAAAAAAAAGGGGGGGGGGGGGTATCTCGCAAGTCTTTTAAGCAATAAAAGAATGAGTGTCACGAACTAAAACACCAGCGAAGTGCGTTAAGGAGTAGAGCTATGTGCGTGACTGCACATTATACTTATTCGGCCTTGTAAATACGCGAAGCACCAGAACTAACACCGCACTGCACGCTCGAGTAAACTACAGTCACAAAGTCTTGCACGTTCATCAGACGCTCCGATCACCACTATATACTAACGTCTGTAAAAAGGAACACAACAACACGATGTAAAGTGTGTGACAACTTGGATATAACAGTACACACTACATAAGCAAAAACAATGCAAGCACCGCATATGTGGGCGAATAGGAAGAAAGCGAGGCATTTGCATCGGTCTCCTCCAAATCGCTGACGCTCTATGCAGTGCTATCACCTATTCTGCGTCACCACGGAGCAACAGTGTGTATTTCGTAACCAATGCTGTGCAAATCGCGAACCTTGACCGCGGAGCGAGCGCACGCATTCTTCGCGGCGCCCTTACCTTGGGCAAAATAGCGTGCAGTGGGACATTGGACACTGACCTCTACACTCCCAGGTGAATGCGGCAGTCCTAGTTTGCGCAAGCCGGCGGTAAGATCGTTTATGTCAATTCGACCATCTTCGTTGACGTCCAACTTTCTGAACAGCTTCTCCAGTCGCTCTTCAACCTCTGTCGGCAGTTCAGGGTAGTAATGTGGTGGGTGCTGCAGGGGTTGGCCGTTTTTTGGCGCGCCATTCGCTTGCAGTTTCATGTTTACCGCTAGCACATGGTGCCTTTATCGAGGTTCCAGCCGGTCAACGAATGAATGGAGTCCCACCTTGCAAGCCACGGGGACACGGCTGATTAGCTCGACACTGCAGCATACGCATCAGACGACGGCAATCTTGCTGTTGGTAACGTGATTCTTGAAACGTTCTGCAGGACTGCATTAAAATTTCTTAAATATGTGTGACAAATGCATTTTGCAAAGGCTTGCTCACCACATTGCTACCTTTGTAACACCCGAAACGTCACGTTTCGTAGCCGACGAAATGAGCCGAATGCCTGCTTTGCTTGCCACGATTTCTCGCTTTTGCCACTACGCAAAGGCTGTCGCTTGCGACCAACGCCTCCTTGAAAAGATATGCCTAGAACGTCGCTCTCCTTTCAATTGGGAGCCTCCTGCCAGCACTTAATCTCGAAGGCCGTGCCTCCTGCCTTGTGTTGCGACCGGTCGCCGCGTGAAACCGCTTGCTTCCGTACCACTTAGTCACGTGACATAATTGTTTCGTTTTGACAAATGACATCACCGCTGCTCGGAGGCAACTGTGAAAGCATTGCTGTGTTCGCTGAGGGCGGTCGTGGAGACGCTCGCCTTCGTACCGAAGGAGGAGGGTAAATTCAGAGGGTAGGGCAGCGCGTTCGTGGTTCACGTTCTAGGCATAATTTTTTTAGAAGGCGTTGTTGCGACGCACCGCCATTATCATTCAACATCAATCCCTGGTTTCGGTTTTATAACGACTTCAAAACGTAGTTTATGCGCACTTTTGAGATTTAAAAAAGCCATGCACGTTTTTGCACAGCGCAATAAAGGTTAAACGTTTAGATTTAGATACAAGAACTGTGGGCTAGCTTTTTTTGTGTGACTTTTCTTTTCGCGCCATTTTTTTTCTCCAGGTGGTAGGTGTTCTGTGGTTCGACCAGCCGCAGAGAACACCCAACCCCACTTCCAGCGTGTCCTCCTGGCTGTGCTGCTCGTTTAGTTGTAAGTCTTCGTTCGCTCTTATTGAATTGACGGCTTTTACGCAGTCTGAGGTTGTAATAGGCAGTGTGCGGCGATTTCACGCTTAATGTCCGCTTACCAAGGTGGTTAGAGTCCCCAAATGACGGAGCCGGTATGCACCGCTGAACACAACGCGCGTGCAAGAAAAATTGCTAGCCGAGTCTTTTTATCCGTGCATCTACGTGCATATTTTCTCCGTTATACAAAAAGTGATACTTTTTTCGCTGAGGCGCGACGATGTAAGCGTGGAAGGTGCTTTTTTTTTAGCAGTTTTTAAAGTTTCGGATTTTATTACTAGATCGAGGCGCTGCGCCACAGCCGTTAAACCGGCAGAATTTTCGTTTGGCTTAAATGACATGTTGGTTTTTTTTTTTTTTTATCGTGTTAGTCTTCTGTTCTTTATCGTTAACCAGGCGCTTATAGTCGAAAGAATAAGTCGTTCACTGAAGGCGAAGTATGTGCGTGCTTTTGGTGTTCACGATGTCGCGCCCTTGCTTTCAGTGAGTAGCACGTTTTCCACGCTCGGTTACGGCATATTGCCTTACCGATCTTGTTTTGAAGACGCTTTATCGAAGCGAGGTGTGCTTCAGTGTGCACAAATGACCAATGGATTTCGATATCCGTTTCTTTTTCAAATGTCTGCATAACGCAAGATTACCGGGTTATGACGCGCGGTAAGGTGTGGTTGGCTCATGTTGTGCCCTCTGTCAATTTTGATAAAGTGGTTCGCGAGAATATGCATGCTAGCTGTCTTTTAACCCGCCGTGGTAGCTTGGCAGCTTTGTTATCGCGCTTTTTAGCTTGAGGACGCGGGTTCGATTGCCATGCAGCAGAAACCACAGCCAAGAAAAAAAACTTCCAGCAGGCGCAAACTTCCTTCGGATTATCCACAGCTGCCGCATTTCGGTTGGGGCAAAATTTTAGAACGCTGTGCACTTAGATTTACGTGCACGTTAGATAACCGGTCAAAATTAATTAGGAGACCTCGAACTGCGGCTTGCCTCATACTTACATAATGGCTTTTACACGTAAAATTCCGGATATTAGTTACCCGATTATGAGTGTGGAGCGGTGGAAAAACACATCTGTCTGTCACAGCGGCACTTTCGGGCCTACGCCGGCTGATGCAGATAAATGGCTTCAATATTTCGTTTTCAGAAAGGCATGGCTTTAGTCATGTAATGCTCAGGTCTGCTCTATTGGATTATATTTGAGTACTTTCACTGATATTGAATGAAGTTAGTATTGAAACTGTCCTGTGTAACAGTGGCATAAAATTGAGAAAATGAAAACTAAACCCAACTTCCCTTGTAATAGCCACAGTGCTTGGTATGGTAGCCTATATAAGAGCTATCTTTTTTAAATTCAACTGGCTGGCATTGAAACCACAGATAATGGTAAATGGTCATATACTATGGTAAACATGACATAATAGGCAGTGGCATAGCCAGAAATATTTAGAGGGATGTATAGAAGCAGCCATTAAAGAAAAGCCTACAGTTACTCAATGTGAATCTTGCCACGACTTGAAAACTGCTGTTGCATATGTTGAACAGGGGGATACGAAGAGCATGCACTTACAGCGGCCAATGTCTTGTGCTTTCCTGATACTTCATAAAATTCAAGACATCACTGCAAACTCAATTTTTTTTTTTTTTGGCTGAATGTTATGAGTGAAGTGATTTTTGAATTTGGTGCGGCAAGATTAACTACTGACAATGTGTTACAAGAAGATATTCACAGATATGTCCGATCATGTGACGCCTATAAAAGGACTTCGCGGAAGGGTCGTCTTGTGCCCGGGCGGGGGTCAATTTGTTAGAGTTGGTGATGCAACTGATCGTATTGCCCATATGGGTTGAGAACCAAATGATCTTGTGTGGAGTAATAGTCCTAGCTTTGAGAATTTAGAACTGTAAAAAAACTTCAAAAGAAATTAATTCAAAATGTTGAGGTCAACTCGGGGAATGATGAAATGGAAAATGATAAGTGTGACATATCAGGTGTCTGCCTTACAATCGAAAAACATATGGAAGCAGCACACTCCATAGTGCATGGAACCCATGGGCATTTATTAGCCCCTTATACACAACTGTAAGCCTGCCAGCTAAATCGTACCACAACAAAGAGCATGTGCCCCGCCGCGGTGGTCTAGTGGCTAAGGTACTCTGCTGCTGACCCGCAGGTCGCGGGATTGAATCCCGGCTGCGGCGGCTGCATTTCCGATGGAGGCGGAAATGTTGTAGGCCCGTGTGCTCAGATTTGGGTTCACGTTCAAGAACCCCAGGTGGTCAAAATTTCTGGAGCCCTCCACTACGGCTTCTCTCATAATCATATGGTGGTTTCGGGACGTTAAACCCCACATATCAATCAACAAAGAGCATGTTAAAGTACTCGTATAGTGCACAATATATCACGAATGCGTTGTCGCTGACATTCGACTTTCCACTGGAGTTTATTAGGGCAAGCCGTGGAATTGCCCCATGGACCTTCTCACAAGAGGCAGCTGTCAACAAGCAGTGCCAAGGGCCAAAGACGAGCTCTGGTCTTCTTCACCCGTTCAATATTATTGTTAAGTGGTGCCACGTCAAGAGCACACACTAAGTATGCACAGTGGCAGCTATGCTAACTTAGTTTAACTGCATTTTCAAGCGCACGAATAAACAGGCTGAAAAAAGAAAAAAAACCTGGCTGTGCCCTTGTTAGTTTCTATTACACAAACTTACCCACCATTAGTGCTGTTTTAAGTCTGGGCATGTTGGTATTCCATTCCAGCACCTAGCTTGCAACTAAAAATAAGGACAAGCTGAAAAAACAAAACAAAAAAAAACGTGGCTGTGCCCTTGTTAGTTTCCATCCTGTCCTTCAGTTGTAATGTTGAAATGCCATTAGTGCCCCGTGGTAAAGCTGGCTTGTAGGACAGACAGGTGCCATGTGGCAAAAACAACTTTAAAATACATGCGAACACCCCACGCGCATCATAGAACCAAGGGAATGGGCTGTTATTCTAATCTGGCATTAAGAGAACAAAATGGACTTGGCTCAGACTCCTTATGTGCAAAAAGATAATCCGTGGAATCAATGGAAATGGTACATTTGTGTGTTAAATGTGGGAGTGACGATCAGTGCTGCCAGTAGCCATAAAGGCGAGGGTGGAACACTCTTTTTTTCTGCCTGTTAATGTCACGCGAAACGTTATTACGAGCTGGCCGATAATCCCTCGTGTACTACTTGAAGGCATGAAGTCTGCCAAAACGAGACTTTCCCTGTGAATGAAGGAAAGTGTACTCGCCGTCATGGCTACTGGTGACAGTGACTGATGCTCCCATGTTTATATACCCCATAAAGTAGACGGGGGGGGATAGCCGTCATGGTATCTCAGTAGGTAGAGCATCAGACTTGTTATTCGAAGGTCGTAGGTTCGGTCCCTGCCCATGGCAAGTTATCTTTTCACCCACTTTTCTTTCTTCGCATTTACATTGCAATTACTTCTAATAACATCCCTTATACTTTCCTTAGCATCATTTCCTGATAGTTCTCATAATTTGTATCTTGTCATGTATCTAGACGTGATTGTAGTTTGTGCTGTTGCAAAGATAATTAATTAGATATAACTTTTAGTTCAGTATGCTGCTTGACGTTTTTCTTTGTCGCATTTCTATGTGATATTCTGGAGCCTTATTCAGGATGAGGCCAAACACGGAAATTTATGGATAAAGCCTGGATAATTGGTACAGGAGCCTTTTTTTATTTATATATGTAAGCGACCTTTTTACTCTTTATTTCTTGCTTGCAGGTGCAGCCATGTTTCCGAGGATGGTACTTTATTGTGAGTATTCTATGTGTGACGGAGTACATCTCTATCTTTTTGTGACAGGGTGCTTTAAAAAAAATTGTGTACTTAAAGGGACGCTTAAGGCAAATATTAAGTTGACATGGATTGTTGAAATATTATTCCAGGAAGCTCGAAGTACTTGTTTTGTGTCTGACAAATGTTTAGGTTTGAAAGATAATCAGTTGCCGACAGGTTGTTAGAGCAATTAAAGCTGCCTGCCTCCAAGAAGGGCTTTCGGACATATCATTTGTAATGCCTGCACTACCCGACAGCCAGCGTTGCAGCTTAGTAAAACGGGGGGGGGGGGGGGGCTGAGTAGACCACAGCTCTGTTAAAATGGAACTTGCATCGTTCGCAAGGGCTATGTCAAGTTCTGTTTTTAATGAATGTGTCTAAAATGGAAAAATTCTATTCTATTTCATCTCGTGATACACTGAAGTGTTATAATCTGTCATGGATGATTTGAGTATCTGGGATTAATTGTGCTGAAACTCTTCTGTGTTATCGGGCTTGTGTTAGAATCTCCCTCTGGTGGCACCAATCGTGTCATAGATTTACCTTAATTTATTGATTACTAAAGCACTGCTGTATAAAATACTGATGTTTTAGACATTCTCAAGCATTGATCTTTCACTCTGATGTAAAATTTTTTGCTTTTAGTGTCCCCTTAAGTGGCTGCATTATTATTGTCGTAGAGTTCTGCTGTTAAGTGTTTGATGTTGCTACTGAAAAAAAAAATTGTTAGAGTGAAAGTCTCAGTTTGGCAGTTGCTGCTTTGATGACAAGTTAGCATTGTTTAGTACTTTCTCAGTGCTGTTTCAGATGGAAGACAAATTGGTTTAATCTTTGTTGTAAAAAAGATCTGGAGTTAACAAAAAAAATCAGAAAGTCAGGTTACCTGGTTATACTGGGTTATAATGTTGTTATAATAAGGTTATAACCTGATGGAAAGGATGGCAGTAACGGTGCTCAAAAGAGAAGGAGGGGTGGTCTGGTTCCCGGAACAGCCAGCAGAGACCTGTGCACAAGATTGCTCGTCGAGCGCGTGCGCGAATTCTCATTCATTAGGTCGCTGCACTTGACGTTTATGCATTCTGTAGTTGACGCTTGCGCATTCTGGTAAAAAAGAAGCACATGGGCGGCTCTACATAAAAGCCACAGTTGCACCGCGAGGGTGAAGCAATAAATGGGATAGCAGCAAATTGTAACATTATACGAAGTGAGGCTGGCAGCTAACACTCCTATCTCGCATAACTGTCGGAAACCCTGGTGTACGAGAATATGGACACTTCAAGGAGAACAACACTTTTCGCACAGTTTTTTCGCGATGAGAGCGTAGCAAGTAGAAGTGTATGCTAGTCGCCCGCGGATGGCTGCAGAGCAAGCACGCATGCCAGCCATCGCGACCACGTCCTTAGAAGCAAAGCTCATAGTTGTTGTCCGACTGACACCCCCCTCCCCCTAGTTTTTTTTTATGCTCTTCTAAGACGGGCAAAGCGCTTCCTCTCTGCTTTGACTACAGGCCTCCTTGGGGGGGTATCGGATGTTATTGCGCGCACCCTCAGAGTGCCGGAGAGGGGCCGTCCGGATCCTTTGATCTCTGCTTCAACTGAGTTTGTTGCCCTTGCTTACGTGCTTTTACCCGCGAATACAACACATGATGCGCAGGGTATGGTGTCAATTTTTAATTTATATGGGACATGACGGCAACGGCGAAAACCCGCCGCGAGTGTTCGTATAAAATCTGTCGCAATAATGAGACTATTGCACAGTTCAGCTTAGCGTTTCAAAAGTTCAGCAATTGTTGCTTCACAAGTTCTTTGAATGCGGCTAGCTACATCTGCTCTAAATGTTCCTACTGCTCTAAACTTGCTTGGAAAGGCCCTTCTGGCTGCTCCAAGCCTGCTTCAAAAAGCACATTTGCCTGCTCCCAAACCCATGTACCCGGTTCTACCCCTGTGCTTATGAAGCATAGCTGGTGCAAGGCATCTAAAAGGAAGCTAGTGCATTTTAGTATGGAAGAGAATCAGTACAGAAAAGGGGCACTTACATGTGAAAAATTTTGCATGGAGGAGACATCGGGCTGAATAAGTTCACAATATTTCCTGAAGTTGTGGGAGTGATATGATAGCCATTTCCAATGAGCATGATCCGTAATAGTATGGCAACCCAGTTGCTCCGGCGTTATGCTACTTAGCCCAAGACTGTGGGTTTCAGCTTGGCCTCTGCTGCCATATTTTCATTGGTGCAAAATGTGACTATGTAAATAACTTTGTGCTTAGATTCAGGTGCATGAAACCTGAGTCGGTCAGCATTAACCTGGAATACTCCACTATTGTATACCCAGTTATGTAATTGCAGTTTTCTCACTTAACAAAAATCTGAAGAACTAAATAAAACTGCACCAGATATTTTGCTTGTTCTGCATGCGCAAAAAACACAACAGACAGGACTGCTCTGAAACCGTACGCTAAATGTAAAGTGAATTCTGTAGACTTCTAGTGACTAGTTGCAAACCTAATTTTTTTTTAATAATAACAAGTAGGTGCAGTTTCAAAACTGGATTGTGTGCTTTTTTTGCAGGCGTTGTGCTACTCATCGTTACTAAAGTCAGCTTTGCTGCACCACGTAAGCGTTTGGTCTTATTTCCACTATTTAATAGGAATTGCTTTTTTTGCAGTTTACAATGTATAGGTAAATTTTAGAGGTTGGACATTTTTGTCTTCAGATTTTTTTCTTTCTCTTTCTCTCAACTAGCAGGCTTTAAAACCTAATGATTGTAAATTTCTGAAGTGTGTGTGTAGAAACTGCTCATAAAAAATACACTTCTGGCCTTGTGTGTGTGACACCTTAGCAGTGTTGCGGAGTTGCCACTCCTGAATTGGAATGATTCCTGAATCATTCCTTACTTTGGCAACCCTGGAATGGGAACAATGCTTGAAAAAAAAAATGGAATGGGAATGGAATTGCGTCTTTTTTCAAAAATAGCGCCCGTTTTCGTCCACACGCTGTTTTTTAAACTTGAACCATTAGTGAATCAGAGCATGGAGTTTAACAATAAAGCAGCATTTTTAAAATGGCTCGGCTTAAACAATCACTGTTCATCTATAAAACAACACACCTACTACAACTCTGTCCTTATGTCGACTGTGTTCCTCAGAAGTTTGTCTCTATTGTTCGAGTAACTATGGCCGAGCCCTCTCCTGTTTTTACACATTATGATTTCTTTTCCCTTGATGGCTGCCTCAGCCGTCTCCCCACCTTTCACTTTGCACCGTCAGCAACTCGTACGCATATTTGAAACAACGCCTCTCGAAGTTGTGATGCGTATTGACACTGGCGCGATGCTTTCGTTCATTGCAAGCTTTCGTATACCAGCTTACGCACCCTCTCACCTTATACTCTCCTCCCCGCCCTCTTCGCAGTACTGTCCCTCCTGTCTAGGCACATGGGTCCCCCGATACTCTGTCGGCGAAGGTCTGCAGGTCAGCGCAGCACACAGTCGTACGCGATGAACTGTATGCGCTCCTTATCAGCACAGGCAGAGAAAGAGAATAAACTTTTGAAAGCATTGGTTCAGGAAACCGCCCAAACCAGGCAAGCCAACGTAACCACAGCCATGGTGGTGCCTCCCCGAGTCCTGAAGCCACGAGAAAACCCACGGTTGCTTTCTTCCAGGGTGGAGGAAGGCCCGGGTAGAAATCCGCTACCACCGCGCCTGTTGGTGCCTAGAGAAACACTGCCATAATGCACGACCGCACAGGCTCTTGCGTCCAGTGGTCCACACTTGAGCAGCTCATGTTTGGGAAGCGCTACACAGAGATGGGTGGCAAGTGTTTTATTTCAATTTTGATTAGAACCAATCGTAATTCACGATCCTGGTTTTGAAAACTAAATGTCGAAGCACCCATTTAGCTCATAACATTTCTTGGGAAAATTTCCATGAATAAAACCGAAATAACGCCTTTTTTTTGCACTTTGTTTTGTTTGCGATCTTTATTGCAGCATTTAAAAATCCCGTGGACGCTTAGGAACTTGTGACGTAAGCTTTGTGACCAATCGGAAGACAAGGCGTTCAGGAGATCAAGCCCAGTAGATCAGACGTTTCTGAATATTGAGCTGAGAGCTGGTCATCCCTCACACTCTTACCGCTCTGGGGTGGGATCATTTCATTATTATCATTATTTTTTATGTATGTTATTTCCACTTCGCTCGGTGCCTACGACTCGGCATGTATCCGTGTTCGCATCGCCAAAGAAGACTTTGCGACGGAACGTATTTTGCCACACCCTTAATAGTGTAACATCACACTCAAATTAGCAATGTAGGCCTGACTACATGTTCTATTGAAGTCGAAGGCTACAATGCATTCTCTAGATGAACCTTTAGTTAGCCATAGCCAAGGGTTGGGGTGGTGTAAAAGTGGGAAAAATCTGCAAATTTGTAAAAGTTAAACTGAGGCATAAGTTACTGCAGAAATGCATTATGCCAAGAGATACTGAAGGGAGAAGCGAATTATCCCTGCAAGTTCGTCTATATCGATACCCAATAGTGATGAATTCTTTGTGCACTGCCTGATAGTTACCTCACGAACAGTTTAGTGCCTGACACACCTAAATAACATTTGCGACAAGAAAGACATAGCATAGCTGAGTACAAGTGAACACTGAAAGATCTCCTCCCAAACAAGTTTTCGAGGTGCTCTTGACAAGCGTGAGTGCTGACGAGCAGTGCAGCTCAATGTTCTGTATTCGGTGCAAAGGCACAAAGTTCCCGAACGGTGGTGCACTGTTCCTACTAATACTAGCAGGTTTAGAGGGTTTCGTACCCTGTTAACGAAATTTAATGAAATCTTAGTTTTGTCCATATTCATGACCGCTCCATACGCTTGACAAAACAGCTTAGTCTTCTTGAACGGTATACTTTTGTCAGCATAACTTTATGCTATGTCATTATTTTGGCAATGCCAAATTTAAGCTTAAATGTTATTAGAACATCACATTCGTTAAAACATGCTCACCGTGCAAATACTAATGTAGCGGCAGAACAGCTCCTATAGGAATGAGTGGGGTGGTTTTACTGCACGAGATACGATATATACCAGGCTACTATCTCTCGACCTTGGTAACGTGTTTTGCGTACTTTTGCAGTTTAGTGCATGTTGTGACACCAGCTTTTTGGGGGCGTTCATTATTAGCTCAGAAAACTATGAAGATGCATTTCTCGCATTGAGGAATTACAGGAATGGAATTGGACTGCCCAGGTATTCCCGGAGTGGGAATGAGCTAAGTTTTTCCATTCCGAGAAATTCAAAGGAATGGAATTGTGGTGTGTCCTAGCTTACCAGAATGGAATTGGAATGGAATAGAGATGCCCATTCAACAACACTGCATCTTAGTGTGTAGCACAGAAACATAAGATTCTGAAGACAAATTCGAGAAGCACAAAAGGGGATACGCATAAGCGTATTGTGCTTCTCATACACGTCTTCGTAGGTGTCTGCTTTAAGGGACCCTAAAATCAAATAACAATTTACGTCAAAGTGGAAGCTCAATGTATGACAACATCTAAAACGTCAATATTATCAACAACAGTGCCCTACTTACCGAAAAATTGAAGTAAATGCACAAGAGCACAAGCGCCGCAGTAGGACGTTTGCGAAATGGTCCTGATGACGTCAGACATCACATACAATTAATCACTAGTAATTTATCTAACTGCACTAAATGAAGAACCTTCTGTGCTTTAAGAGACGCAATGAAATGCTGCTTGTTTGTTTCTGTTTGATTCATGGAAAAAAAACAAACCGCGGGACGTTACTATGGGGAATAGCGTGAGTGGTTCAAAAATTCAATTTTCGCGTGGTTGCACGGGACAGGTGGGGCCATCTAGCAGGGTGCAGTTGAAACAAAAGCGTCTGCAACACGACCTTCTGGATCGGGCGCGCACGGCAGTGTTCCTTCGGTCGTCTCATTCGGACGGAGGAAGCGTAATTGCAAAAGGGGACGTGGCTGCTCCGTTTGCCGCATGGCGGCGCGCGCCTACTATCCCTCCTTTTCTTTGCTGCTGTCTATGCAGGATGGTTTACAGTGCTTGAAGATGTCACTTTATAGTAACCGTAGACTGCTGGTTAGCTGTACACTTTATCTTTTTTCGCCCCCCAACCGCCTCAAATAAAACAAATAAACGATTGATGGTGGCTGGCGCCATAGTCTTTCTTTTTCTTCGTGCCCCAGCTGCTGTCGGGATGATAGTGACCGAAGCGAACATATCTGTGAGCCAGTTTTCAAGAAAATTTTGGTGCCCTCCTGTGCAGCACATGAGTAGAAAGTACACAGGAGAGTGAACTCACCCGACTGATTTATTAAAGTTTTTTTGTTGACTGCTTCCAAAAGAGGGAAACGATCCGAGGGATAACCGAGCTGCATCGTGGCTGTTGGCAGAAATACCTTGAGGTACTGAGGACTTCAATGCTGCAAGTTACTTTCTTTACTCGCAGACATTTTTCGGCAATGAAGGGAAAGCTACGGAAGTGGAGCTTCTGCAAATGTGCTCCTACGCGAAGCAGTCCGATTTGGCACGTGAGCTCTGTGAAAAGTGATAGCTGAGCGCAATCAGCATTAATTTCCATACAGACACAGGCGACGCTAAGCATTTGAAGTACACTTGGAAGGCGTTTTTTTTTTTTTTCATGCGTGGAAAAACGCAGTGACACAAGAACGCGCACAAAAACGGGCAAACGAACACACACGCACACAGACAGATGAGTGCGCTCACATACACACATTTGCACACACTCACAAAAGAGCGTGCACTCACCCACACACACAGGCCAAAGAGCGCACGCACATTCACGCACCTTTTGGGAGCACACACATCCGCATGCACTCGCGCACAAAAGAATGCGTGCACTCAACCACACACCCAAGTGCGCCCACACAGGCAGACGAGCGAGCGCTCTCACATACACATTTGCACACGCTCACGCACCGAAGAACACACATGGCACGCACGCACTAGACCCCACACAAGTGCGCGCACACACATGCACATACACACTCACGCACAGAAAAACACACACAATCGCCTCCCCAATTGCTAGTACGAAGCCCTCACTTTTTTGGTAAACACCTACACTTCACCATAAGGAAGGCTGAAGTGCAAACACCATCTTCATTGCATCTACCTCGAATTTTCGCTCCCAGCTAACGCAGCTTTTCCGCTCACACACAGATGCCGACGACATAATTTCTGTGAAACAAGCTTTTTAACGATGTCGCACTTTAAAACTACAAGATTCACCTAAGCGAAAGAAAGTACTCTGGTAATGGGGTGACCGATCCCTAGCACCCTATAATTCCCAGGGGCGATTAGCATCGCCCATCATTTTCACGCTCATAGTCGCCTACTTGCGGCCTGCGCTTAGATGAGAAAGTCACATTCGCAACACTGTTGCATCGATCGCCGGTCATCATGCAGGGGAAAACGACTGTAGCATTAATAACACTACATTTTAGTTTTCCAGCAATGTGATGCTGTGACGACAGAGCTGGACTGCATAACATAACTATATATACAGGGTCGAGAACGACAAAATGCATTCCTTGCAGAACAAGGCCGTCTAAACT